TCAGGCGGTTTGCTTGTTTCTGGGCTCAACATCCTTCGCTTTCGGAGCAGATTTGGAGGATGTCTCGAGCGAGGCGCTCATTTCAGCACCCCTAAGGGGAGCCGCCAGGGGTGGTTGCACGGGCTCGTTCGCGGCCATTTTGTGGGGATGTCTCAGGCGGTTTGCTTGTTTCTGGGCCCAACATCCTTCGCTTGGAGAGCAGATTTGTGAGGATGTCTCAGGCGGGGCGCTGGTTTCAGCACCCCTAAGGGGAGCCGCCAGGGGTGGTTGCACGGGCTCGTTCGCGGCATTTTGTGGGGATGTCTCAGGCGGTTTGCCTGTTTCTGGCCCAACATCCTTCGCTTTTGGAGAGCGATTGGTGAAGATGTCCAGGCGGGGCGCTGGTTTTCAGCACCCCTAAGGGGAGCGCCGGGTGTTGCACGGGCCTCGTTCGCGGCCATTTTGTGGGGATGTCTCAGGCGGTTTGCTTTTTCTGGCCTCAACATCCTTCGCTTGGAGAGCAGATTGTGAGGATGTCTCAGGCGGGGCGCTGGTTTCAGCACCCCTAAGGGGAGCCGCCAGGGGTGGTTGCACGGGCTCGTTCGCGGCCATTTTGTGGGGATGTCTCAGGCGGTTTGCTTGTTTCCTGGGCTCAACATCCTTCGCTTGGAGAGCAGATTGTGAGGATGTCTCAGGCGGGGCGCTGGTTTCAGCACCCCTAAGGGGAGCCGCCAGGGGTGGTTGCACGGGCTCGTTCGCGGCCATGTTGTGGGGATGTCTCAGGCGGTTTGCTTGTTTCTCGTGGCACTATCCTCCAACATGACATGCACTTATGGTTTTGTGTGGCTAAACGCTCGTCTTACATATCCCACTGCCAACTATCCTACAACATATGCACATGTGGGAAGCTCCAAAGCTACCACGGGCTGAAAAGGGGAAGGCCTGGCAGCTGAGGAGGGGGGATGAAGAGGAAGAGGCTCGCATTCAACCATGCTCAAAGCTCACTCTGACTCATGCGCAATCACTCGCATTAGGGGTCACTCGTCTTCGTCGGCCCTGTCGCCCACGTGGACGCGCTATTGTAGTCGACCGCTCATGAACAGACGCTCACCACGGCATGACATACAATATGAGATGCACATATGGGGAGCTCCACGCAGTGAGTAATTATCCAGAGTAGCAGCATAGTTGCGAGCTTGATTTTTTTTGCCGCCAGACAAGATGAAATATCACGCGTGGTTTTCCCGCCCACGGCAAGCTTGTAACCGTTTTGGCTGGCCCACAAGGACTGCCACCAGAAAGTGCGACACGTCCCTCCCATGCTCCCCACTTCCTATTGCAAGCACTCTTGATTTACGTTGTCCCATCGGCCCTGCCATACATTTCTCCCGTTTCTCGGCTTTGCTCTGGCGTGCCCTGCCCTATTCTATTTTACTGTACTTTACCTTGCATTGTATACCCCTACGCCGAGTTTCGGGCCAACTTGTGGTATCGTGTGCTTGTGCCAACTTGTTTATTTTTGGTGCTATGCACTTTCCCTTCGGGCCCTTCCATTCCATGCCATTGCCCCCCCTCTGCCTCACCATGCCATCCTCTACCAACATGCCGCGCCTTGCTGAGAGCTCTTTGGGGGAGGACCGCGCCGTCGGGTCTTCGAGGCCTTCGGGCGTCTGGGCGGCCCTGGGAGGGGCCCAAACATAAGTTCCCCAGATGCCAATCTCAACCTTATGTTGTTCCCATCCCTTGCTCTAATGCGTTCCATGTCAATGTCAATCTTATGTTGTTCCCATCCCTTGCCCGTCCCAAACATAAGTTACCCAGATGTCAGCCCCCCGAGGGAACTTATGTTTGGGACGGGCAAGGGATGGGAACAACATGAGGTTGACATTGGCATGGAACGCATTAGAGCAAGGGATGGGAACAACATGAGATTGACATCGACATCTGGGCCCAACTGATGTTTGCCTTCTCGCCTTTTCGCTTCCGATGGCCATCCGAGGCAGCAATATGGTTCCGAGAGGACCCAAGAGGGCTTCAAGATTGGCCCAAGAGAGCCACATGACGGCCCCAAGGGAGCCCAAGAGCGTTCCGAGAGCGCCCAAAGAGGGGCCCAGGAAGCGATTTTACAAACTCCCGAGGGGCGGCGCTAATTGAGGGGTCACTCGTCTTTGATCGATCTCCTCCAATATGGCCCCAAGAGGCGCCCATGGGGGCCCCAAGAGGCGCCAAGATGGATCCAATATGGCCCCATCAAGATTGCCGCAAGAGGCCCACAATAAGCCCCCCAGGGGGGGCTTACCCGTTTTTGATATCACAACTTTGAAAAGTGTTCGCCATCGATCCGCGTAGTTGGCGCCGGCTTTTAAAACTAATGTCCGCGGCGCCGAGGCGGGAACCCCATTTTGAAACCGTGCCGCCCTCGGCCCGTGCATTTTTAATCAGTGACGTTCCAGTCCGTGTTGGGCCGAGGAAGCGGACTGACGCTCCAGAGCGCAAGCGCGCCCCATCCCAATTCAGGGAGGGGCGGAACGCCGAATGCAGGCTGGCGGAACCACCTACGACCCCTCACCGTCTCGCTGCGCCAAGTCCTGCGCGGAGCCTGGCCTCCAGCGCCACCCAGGTCCGTCGGGGGATCGGTAGAACTCGACCTACGGGAACGACGGCGGCGACGACGACACAGACGACGACGGCGGCGGCGGCGACGGCGACGACGACGAGAACGACAACGACCCAATGCCTCCTGGAACCACGACGCGTACCGCGCCTCGTAGTACACATCCACCTGCTGCAGCGACTCGTGCAGCTGCAAGCCCTCGAACTGCATGGCAATCCGCTCCCAACTGCAATTCGCGCGGGCCCACGCCATGAATGTTTCGACCATGTGCGCCTCGTAATCGCTCGTGACCGCACGTATGCGGTTCCGCTGCTCGTCGCTGAGAGCGGCGAGCCTGTAGAGCTCCGCGCCGTCGAGCTCGCGGTAACCGCTGTTGTCGACGAGCTCGGCGCTGTTGCCGACGAGCCTCTCCACCGAGCTGTCGTCCACGATATCCTTGCCGTCGTCGGCGTCGTCGCCCCCGAGCTCCTCGCGCCGCGAGCGCTTCGCTGGCGGCGGCACCAGTCGCCGCCCTTCTTCGTCCCGTGCAGCCCACTTCATGTTCAAAAACCGCTGTTTCAATGGTCCTGCTGCTGCTGGCTGCGCTGGGGCTGCTTCGCCTGGTGGCGGCACCAATCGCCGCTCGTCTTCGTCCCGTGCAGCCCACTCCATGCTCAAAAACCGCTTCATCATTGGTCCTGGTTGCGCTGATTGCGCTGGTGCTGCTTTGTCTGGTGCTGCTGGTTGCGCTGGTACTGCTTCGTCTGGTGCTGGCACCACCTTGGCCCCTGGTGCTGCTGGTTGCGCTGGTACTGCTTCGTCTGGTGCTGGTTCCCGTCGTGCTGGCGACGCTGGGGCTGTCGATGGCCGCGGGCGCGGAGGCGGCCGCGGCGCCACGCTCGCGGCCGAAAGTGCCGATAGTTGCGCTGCCACTGCTTCGTGAGGTTCTGCTGGTACCCGTAGTAGTGTTGGTGGCGGCGGGTACGAAGGCTGCCGAGGCGGCCGCCGCACCGCCCCCGCGGCCGCAAGTGCTGCTGCAGCTGTTGCGCGTGGTGCTGCTGGTTGCGCTGCCATTGCTGCGCGTGGTGCATCTGGCCCCCGTCCTGGCGTCACTGTCCCCGTCCTGGTGTCACTGGTGTCACTGGTGCTGCTGAGCACGCGTGGTGGGGTGCGCATCGCGGGCGGCCGCGGGGGGGTGCATCTTGGCGCGGGCGCCATGTTTGTAACCCTCAGGCGACACAAACGGTGTCGCCGCCATCTGAGCCAAACGGCCTGGACAAGTGAAAACAAACGTTTCGCTCGAGACAGTCTCGACGGCTCCTCATCTTAGACCCCCCCTGGGTGGCCATTTCGCTCGATGCATCCTCAGTCTCAGCTCCTCAGGCGCGGCCGCGGCTGGATCCGCATCGAAATCCTGACGCGCCGCCGCCGCCGTCGCCGTCGTCGTCGCGTCGTCGTCGGCGGCGGCGGCAGGGGGGATGATAATGGTAATGAGTAGTGAGAGGGAGTGTGCGGTGATAAACGAGTGAGGGTGAGGCATGACTCTTTGGATTCTTTGGTGACGGACTCTGTCCTGGGGCATTCTTGTGGCGCTATAGGGGGCTTTAGTGGCGCTCTTGGGGTAATGTAGGAGGTCGGCAAAACAAGGGGGGCCCCATTAGCGTGCATTCTCGGGCGCCCCACACTCGTATATTGGGGCGATCTTGGAGCGCTCTTGGGCGCTCTTGGGGCGCTCGTGGGGCAGTGTTGGGCTTGTATTATATATATAGGGTAATGTTGGAGTCGCACTGGGTCAGCGGATTGCCATCGGACGCGAAAAGGCGAGAAGGCAACATTCAGTGGAATAGACTGCTGACGGGTGTTTGCTTCTTGGAGGACTCCTTGGGAAGCGGAGCGGTCTCGGGGCGTCTTGGAGCGCATTCGGAGCTCATCTTGGGATCTCTCAGGGGGTCGGGGAGCACTCTTTGGCCATCTTGGGCGCTCCAACGCGTCGCGGCCCCGCCCGTCCAGGTCCAGGGGAAGGGAGGGGGAAGGGTAAACCCCGCCCCGAAGGGGAATAATGGGGGTTGGACGAGGGGACTCCCTAAACCACCGACGCCCAAAGGGCCGCTGTGAGTTTGGACGGGGCGCGCGGAATCACATGCGAGTATAGGCGGGTCCTGAGGGAGGGCCCGCGGGGGCACCCTGGCGAGACGACGACGACGACGAGGACGACGAGGCCAAGGGCGACCCACCCGCGACCCACTCATGACGAGGGCGACCCACCCGTGACCCACCCATGACACAGGCGACCCACCCGTGACCCACCCAGGACGAGGGCGACCTATTCCGTAATGCAGCCATCTAGGCCAACGCCATTTTGGCGAAGGCCTTTCAGAGGGCGAGCTGGAGTTGCCACCGCCCTGCAGAGAGCGAGCGTCCGCCCGTCATGGCGGCGCACTTGCAGTTCGTGGAGAACGAATGGGCTTGCCCGCAGACGGTGACGCTCAGTGACGGGTCGTGGGTGGACGCGCCCTACATGCAGTGGGACCGCGCCACGGGCACGTGGAAGTGCCTCATGCGCGCTACGAATGGGAGCAGAGTGACGGCAGATCACTTGGCGGCGGCCAGAGACAAGAACAGGACAGAGGGAGCTTGGAACCATTTGGCATCTTTCACGCGCGGCTGGCAGGTTGACATCGTGCAGGTTCACACGGACGGCAACTACATCCACCCACCTCCGCAGCAGCTGGCGCTGCCAGCGCCTCAGCTAGCGCAAGCGGCACCGGGACTTCAGCCGCCGCCCGCAGCAGCTGGCCAGCCAGTACCTCCAGCTGGACCTCCGCCTCCAGCAGCTGGAGCTCCAGCTGCACCTCCGCCCCCAGCAGCTGGAGCTCCAGTGCGTCAGCCGCCGCCCGCGCCAGCAGGGCAGCCAGCAGCAGCAACTGGCCAGCAAGCACCAGGACCGTCGCCCACGGAGACGCTGCTGCAGGCAATCGTCGACGGGATCGCTGGTTTGCAGGTGGGTACGAATGCCACGCACGAGGCCATCGAGGAGTCGAACAACCTGTTGCAGACGCTCGCAGAGCGAGTGCAGTTGGTGGCGGGCCGCATCGCGGAGACCAACGAGCTGCTCGGGGTTATGGCCCAGGCAGCGCCGCGCGGGTCGCCAGCGCTGGCCGTGCGCGCGAACCGCGGTGATGCGGCGCCCTCCAAGGCGGCGCCCTACCAGCAGATGCAATGACGCGGCGCCTGCCCCCCCGTGATGCGGCGCGCGACGCATCGGACATGTGTCGCGATACATCGATACATCGGACTCTGCATCGGACTGTGCGTCGATACATCGGAGTTTATGCACCGAGTTGGTGGTCGGACTACGTTTGCATATGGCGACGCGCATCGTCGGCAGCCGATTTCAATTTTGTATAAGAGGGGGCGCAGCGGGCATTTTCCCCCGACAACGGCTCATCTGCTCGTGCCGCACGTGACCTCGGGGTCGCCCCGCACTTGCGCGATGCTGCTTTCCCTTGACCCTAGGGGGGCACTGTGTGCATTCGGAGCTCTCCCGTGGGATACCCCCCCTAGGGAGAGCGATTAGTCCTCCGGACAGGGAGGGCGAGCCTCGCTGTGAAGATTGGAGCGCATGGCGCACTGCGCTATGCAATGCAGAAAGAAAAACATTAGCCTGGCGAAGGACCCAACCATATGCAATTGTGAACACCGCAGTTGCGAATATCTTCTTCGGTGGCGCTCAGGCTTATTCAAATGGCGAGCTTGCTCGCCAGACTGATTCAAATGGTTTACGCCGCCCAGACTTATTCACGCGGCGAGCTTGCTCGCCAAGCTGATTCATAGTACTTCTTGTTGACCCTCAGCGCCGTCTTTCGAGGATGTCTTAGGCGCGCGGGCATTCTTCTGAAACCATGTGCAATATGTGCGCGGATGGATGGCGATTCCTTTTCAAAGCCATGGCGGATTAGGACGATCGGGGTCTGGGAGTGGGAGTAGGAGTATACGAGTAGGAGTAGGAGCAGGAGTAGGAGTAGTACACGTGTCGTGGCCCTATGGGGTGCTCCACCGAATGCCCAGTGCCACCGCATTCTCCCTCCGCGTCCGCTTAGGCTCAAGAAAGCCGTTTGAATGAGCCTGAGTGGCGTATACCATTTGGATCAGCTTGGCGAGCAAGCTCGCCATTTGAATAAGATTGGCGAGCAAGCTCGCCGCATGCGTAGGAGTAGGAGTAGGAGTAGGAGTATGGGACAATTAACATCAGAAGACTGCCCAATATGGCTTCCAGGGCGGCCAAGATTGCCCAAGTTCGTCCACGGCCAAGACGGCCCAATATGGCTTCCAGGACGGCCAAGACGGCCAAGGAGTACGGCCACGACGGCGCCCAAGATGGCCCAAGAAAGCCTCAGGGTTTTTTGACATGAACTGCGAGGCGAAAGATTAGCACCACGGCGCAGGCCCCACAGTGAGGTCATCCCTTTGTGGGTGCCGCCCCCCTATGCAGATACGATTGAATCAAGTTCTCTGCTTGCAAATGAAAAGCAACGGATGCAAACTGTAATCGCCGTGCCATTCGAAACGGGAATTGTGATAGGCACGTGGCCTAACCCCCGCAAGACTGGGCCGTCAAGATGGGAAACATCGTCACAAACACCAGGCGGAGGGGGGCGGCCTGACCCCGTTTCAGTCCACCCACTTGGTCAGGTAGTTGATCGCCTTGAGTGCCGCAGCGACCTCCGCATAATCACATTTCGAAGGATGAGGCGTAGTCCCACGACCAAACTTCGGCAACTGAAATATACCAGATGACGTTGTACGCCCAGCCAGTCTTAGGATCAACCCAGACACCACGGTAGGACGTTTTCCACACTCTGATATACGTACCTTTTTCTTCATTGTAGTGCCACTTGCCGCCTCCTCCAGTCGACCACTTGATGCGCTTGTTCGATAGCAAAGACGATGGGGAGTGCTGGCCATGACGATCGTCATAACGACGCTTTCCCATCGTGGCGCGGGCAGGTGCGTGCGATACCGAACACGCGGGAAGCTGACAGCACAAATGGCTGCGGCTGATGATGATGATGGCGACGATGACATGACGATGGCGATAATGATAGTGACATTGACAGGTCAATATGACGATGATGACATTGATGTTGCCAGCGTGCTGAAAACGCAACACGTAAACTAACCATCAGCCGAACAGTTACTCCTACTCCCACTCCTATGCTCCTACTCCTACTGCTGTTCCTACTCCTACTCCGACTCTTCCTCCTTCTCATACCCCTTATACGCCTACTCCTAATTGCGGGACGCATGCGGCGGGCTTGCTCGCCAATCTTATTAAACTGGCGAGCTTGCTCGCCAAGCCTATTCAAATGGTTTACGCAGCTCAGGCTGATTCGAATGGCGAGCTTGCTCGCCAAGCTGATTCATATTAGTTTTTGTTGACCCTCAGCGCCGTCTTTGCGGACCCCCAGCGCCGTCTTCGCGGGCCCCGAACCAACGGAAACACTGTCGGTGGAGCTCCCTGTGGGGCCACGAAGCGTTTGAGGGGTGTGCCGAATTGGGTGTGCGAGGCGCATGCGGGCGGCATGGCACTGGGGCCTTCGGTGGAGCCCCCCCCCCCCTCCCCCCCCCTCCCCCCCCTTGTGGGTGTGCGGGGCGCTTGCGGGCGGTGGCACTTGGGCTTTCGGTGGGGCTCCCTATGGGGCCGCGAAACGTGTGAGGGGTGATGGCGATGATGGTGATGATGACAACGATGATGATGATGATGACCTTAATGGCGATGACGATGATGACGACGATGATGATGGGAGGAGGAGGATGAGGAGGGGGATGAGGAGAGGAGGAGGAGAAGGAGGAGTGAGGACGCGGGGCGATGTCTCTTCAAAACGAGGACCCGACGCCACAGGACGCAACGCTGAAATACATAGCTCTACATATTGTTTTAACTTATTGAGCCTACGCCATGGCAACAGCGAAGACGACGACGACGACGCCGCCCCTTGGATATTGGGTGTAAGTCCCCATGGGGCAGCGAAGCGTGCGTGGAGTGCGCCGAAATATGTCACATTCCCCATCGATAAAAAAAACCGTCAAATTTCAGAAATCATAAAACGCATCAGCATTTTCAACAGAGAACGAAAATACAAAAAAACAAAAAACGATGAAAAACACAACAAAAAAACAACCAAACAGAAAACACATATATTTTTATATAAAATAAAGAAACATATCATATATGCTAACCAGGTTAACAAACTAGGTTAGCTAACCTACTGAACATTTTTTTATTTTTAAAAAATAATCAATTTAGCTAACCGTGAAAACCTGTTTAGCTAATCGTGATAAGTACTTACATAAGTTAGCGCTAACTAACTTAGTAGGTGCTCTATGTGATCATGGAGTGCTCTATCTGAGTCACTGGGCTTGTAGTTGGTTCACTGAACTTATAAGTTGGTTACAGCCAACTTACACGCTAATTATAATCTATATACTAATCGCGCTAACCAAATCGAAACCGCGGCGGCGATCTCAGCGGCACCGGCACCGGCACCGGCACCAGCACCAGCACCGGCATCGGCACCGGCACCGGCACCGGCACGGGCACCGGCACCGGCACCGGCGCCTGCGCCGGCGGCATTGGCACCGGCACCGGCACGGGCACGAGCGCCGTCGCCGTCGCCGGCGCCAGCACCGGCACTGACACCCGCACCCGCAACCGGCACCGGCACCAGCCCTGGCACTGGCACCGGATGAAAAACATCATTGACATTGAACATCATGACATTTTCCAAACAGTGCTTGCAATTAGGGGGCCTTCTGTCTTCTTTCCTAGTATTAGCTGGGTCGTCTGAGGGGCGGTCTCGCGGCTCTCTCCTCCTCGCCGTTGCCGCCCTGTCGCCGCCCGTCGTCGTCTGGGCTTGAGGGGCGGTCTGGTTTTTCCGTCCTTGCCGTCGCCCCCCCTTGATGCGTCGTCGCCGCCCGTCGTCTTGGCCTGAGGGTCGGTCTGGCGGTTCCTTGCTCGTCGCCGTCACCGTCCCGTCGCCGCCTCCTCGTCGCTGCCCTGTACGCCCCCCCAGCGGTTGCAATCCAACCGGTTGCAAGCCAATCAAGTGCAAACCCAGTGGAATCGATTGCAGTCCAATCAATGGTAAAATTATGCAAACGCAGTTCCCGGGACCCATGGGGTACGACAACATCAACACGAATAATAAGCTCATCGAGCGAGTAAGTACGCACGAAAGGGCAGACGAAAGAAAGGAGGAGGGAGGACAGGTGCTCAGGAAACGAAGCCTTGTAGATAGTACGGGTTGTTGATACCCGCTTCGCTTTTGCGGGGCCCCGCTGGAAGGGGGGAGGCCTACGAAACCTGGTAAAGAATAATGCTGTCCGCGACCCTCCTCGTTCAAGCGACTTCTCCTCCTCCTCCTCCTCCTCGTCGTCCTGCTCGTCCTCGTCCTCCTCATCCTCGGCATCATCATCATCATCATCATCACCAGCATCATCGTCGTCATCATCAGCATCATCAGCAGCATCGTCGTCACCCCGTCGTCGTCGTCATCATCAGCATCATCGTCATCATCATCAGTATCAACATCATCAACATCATCATCATCATCGTCAGCATCATCGGCATCATCATAACCATAATCATCATCCTCATCATCATCAGCATCATCATCATCGCCAGCGTCATCGTCATCATCATCATCGTCGTCGCCACCATCGTCATCATCATCATCAGCATCGTCATCATCATCACCATCACCGTCCTTGGCATCATCATCGTCCGCATCATCGTGGACGTCATGATCATCAGCATCATCGTCGTCATCATCATCAACAGCACCAGCAACGTCAGCATCAGCAGCAGCATCGTCATCATCACCAGCATCTGCATCATCATCCTCGTCGTCGTCGCCATCGTTGTCATCATCGTCATCGTCATCATCATCATCGTCATCATCATCAGCATCATCATCATAATCACCGCTATCGCCATCGTCATCGTCCATCACCATTATCGCCGTCATCGTGAACAGCAGTATAACCATCGTCATCACCATCATCATGATGAAGCCTTCCTCATCGCAGAACTCCCCCTCCTCCTCACCCTCCTCAGTGGGAGGAGTAGGACGTGAGATGGATAGGTAATGTTCTCCCCTCCTCCTCACCCATGTCAGTGGGAGGGGCACGAAACCATTTAAATAGTATGGGTTTCCGATACCC